AAATAAAAATATACACAATTCATACTTTTACGTTGGAAACCAACCCCGTACCGTATAATTTATGGATATGCATTGTCACAGAACTGTTAACACATGTGTAATTAACTTACTTTCTTTGGCAAACGACATCAGCCGTCCTGGTTAATTGCATTAAATTACGCTGTTAATTGTGCAATTCAAATTGTACATAGGACAGTGACATGCTCCTTGCTTAGGCCGACACTTTTATATTTTGGGTTTACGGATTCGACTTCAACATTTTCAATCACAAATATATAATATAGATTGAGATCTATCTTTTATGGGTAGTTTTAAAAGTTACTGTTAATTTAATTGATATAATGCACTGTAAGTATATGTTTCTCCTTGCAAACATCACGACCCGTGAAGATCCGGGTAGAATAGGTCTTCAGCAACCCATTTGCTTGCCGTAACAGGCGACAAACGGGATCGGGTTGTCAGGTTCGCTGACTTGGTTGATGCATGTCATCGTATCCCAATTGCGTAGATCGATGCTCATGATGTCAATCACTGGATTGTCTGCTCCAGACTCGATTATTTGCAGACCGCCGTCATATAGCTGGAAAGTTGCTGAGTGCTGCGTAAAACAACAATCTTGTGTGTATGCTAAACCAATACACCAGCCGCAAATCATGCATCTAACACAAAGATATATGTATGTTGACTTGTACGCATCTGTCAAACTATGACAAATCCGGATTTTGTATCAGAGAGAGAGAGAGAGAGAGAGAGAGAGAGAGAGAGAGAGAGAGAGAGAGAGAGAGAGAGAGAGAGAGAGAGAGAGATACAGGAATTAATGTCAAAACATCTTTGTTCAGAGATAGTTGCTCGCGATGACGAACACTGCCCCAACTTGGTGCTTGTGAATGAGGGGAAATCTTTGCCCCTCCTGCCCAAACCCTTATCCATGGATTAGATTTAAGTATGACATTAAACACATGGCGGGTACCATTGCCACACAAGCGGAAACCGTAATTTATCAATTTGGGTATTTTCACAAGTCGATGATGACCAATCAACTTTCCGCATCTTGGGCCGTAGAATTTACAAATTTAAATTTAAAATGATCACAGGTGGCAGGCTACACAGATAAACGCATGATCGTGCTATGTATGATCAATACCCCGTCACTACAGCACACGAGACAGACATTCATGTACATTCATCGCGAATAGGTCAAAATTGTCCCTGGTTCCCAATTCTTGTTTTCCATTCGTGATTCAGAGGCAGAATAAGAGCCTTGTTGGCATGTTGATGTACTTCTATACACCGTTCATCCCAGGAGTCTGTGTGTGCCTCGTGTTTGCCCTGATAAACATTGAGCCATCCGTCAACCATTAAGATTAAAGCAGCCAAGGAACGTTCTTATCAAGAAATTAAAGTCATGTGTCGAAATTAATTCGGGTCTACAACTTACGTCACTGTACGTTCGACCTTCCTGGTGAGAGATATTCTGTATTTGGCCAGTTTAAGACACATATTATCTTCAAAAAGGCTAACGTGTATATATAATAGTGCTTTACATTACTTAGGTTTTTTTAATTTAAAAAGGCCAAAGACAAATATAAATAGTTTGCATGTAGATTCCTATCTGGTTCAGCCTACACAGAGTACATCTGTATAACGCTGAACCGCAATGTGTGTGCCCCAGTTAATGCATCTTGATATGAACACAAGTTATCTTCCACATCTTCTTTACATTAAGTTGCCGGGGTATAGTCAATGTTTTATCGTGACTCTGAGTTAGAGTTACTGGCTGCTATTCCAGTCTGTGGTTGTGGTTGTGGTTGTGGTTGAGACGGCGATGTAAAGGTGAATTGCCCCAGCTCTGTAGCTCTGTCAACGCCATCCCCAACAACCCCCTTTCCTCCCATCCCCAGACACACCCTCACCTCACCGTATGAAGGATGAACAACCCTACCGCACTGCTGAAAGCTTTTATGGAGGTCCTTTTGGCTTCCATGGTGACTGGTCGATATTATCTGTCACTGTGCCACACGTTATTTTACCAAACTTCGACTCACCGTTAAACACAGGGTCGTTTTGTTACCGACATGTACTGACACACATTGGATCATGTGGACGATATTTTACCAACATTCGATTGACCAACTTTTGAGCATATGGACAATATTTTACCAGCATACTATTAACGCTCCTGGAAGAACACGAACGTTATTTTACCAACATAACACTGACTCACCTTGAAGAATATTGAGTATATTTTACCAACATAGTATACTGACTCAATTTGAACTCTAAGGAGTGACATACCTTGGAGCACAAGGGCAATACTTTACCAACATACAACTGAACCGCCTTGAAACATATATGGAGGTTATTTTACTAACATATTACTGACCCACCTGAAAGCATATGGAGGTTATTTTACCAACATATTACTGGCCCACCTTAAAACATATGGAGGTTATTTTACCAACATATTACTGGCCCACCTTAAAACATATGGAGGTTATTTTACCAACATATTACTGACACACCTTAACACATATGGAGGTTATTTTACCAACATATTACTGACCCACCTTAATAACATATGGAGGTTATTTTACCAACATATTACTGACCCACCTTGGTTGGAGCACATGAACTCTTGAAGATGTCCGGTATGACAAAGTCAGGAAGAATAGGTGCCCGCTTTAACAAAGTCAGGACTGTTAGGTGTCCGGTGTAACAGGGTCAGTACTATAAAGTGTCCGATGTGACAAGGTAAGGACTATGAGGTGTCCGGTGTAGGAGGGTCAGGACTATGAGGTGTCCGGTGTGACAAGGTCAGGACTATGAGGTGTCCGGTGTAGGAAGGTCAGGATTATGAGGTGTCCGGTGTAACAACGTCAGGAAGATGAGGTGTCCTGTTTGACAAGGTTTGAGAGATCATATCTAGGGAGATTAATTAGGCCGGCGTAGAGAAATTTACCTGCCTATGTGTTGTCAATTATTGATCATGCATTATTGTCCTCAGAAACATATTTTATATTTTCGGCGTTAATCGACATGTACTCGATGGGCTTGACGCTGATCTGTCATAGCCATGTTTGCATGAGGATCATAACATCTGTAGAAGTAACTAACAGACATCAAGCATAATAATTCCGCTTCAGAGGACCCTTGATGTAGGTATAACGATATGTACAACATTACGCTTGTCGGTGGCATTTTGCGAAACTCAGGAGCTCGGGTGTGAGGAGAAAGCCATAATCAGGGCGAATCTGGGGTTCGAACCAACAACCATAGGATCCTAGCATGGGAAAGGGGCATAACTCTTTTAAATTTCACGAGTTGACGCGATATCAATTCATGTCAGTACTCGGGATGCATGGACATGGTGTTAGAATACAGAGACACAGATATTAATCACCTGCTTTTGAGGAGTTAGTTATTGTAAAAGTGTAAACGTAGCAAATCGCCACCCCATAACGCATGTACAGAAATTTAAGCTCGTTATAACCGTAGTTCGTTATAACCGTAGTTTACTGTATATGTCTTTTTTAAATAAACGCCGGGAATGATCGAACTGTGACAATAGCTTACGTTCTGTTTAGACTCCCTTTAATTCACAGTGGCCCAATCTACTACTGATGTGAAATAAAAAGAAGGATCGACACTTTAAAAGCGTGTGTGTCTTTTGCTGCCCACAACTTTGAGTAAGGAGTATTGTATAATGCCGATGTTTAAGCCACAAGTGTACCTCTCTGTCTCTGTCTGTCTGTCTGTCTGTCTGTCTCTCTCTCTCTCTCAGACACACACACACACACACACACACACACACACACACACACACACACACACACACAGTGAGTGATTCTGCACACATTCGGAAGGGTACGGTATAAAACCGTCAGTTGCAAGCATGTCACACTAAACTGCCAGCACACGCAGCAGTGAGGATCGTGTTGTCGAAACTTCGGAAGCGCGGAGAGTTACAAAACAAAAAGGTCTCCTGTTTCTTATGAACCGCCAGCTGCGATAAACGAATATACCGCATCTGCTCACACTGCCTATTCATAACCTGCTCTGTCCGCTTGACAGCATCACATGCAGACCCACACCAGTGCCATCCATCATATTCAGGCCGCCACACACGCACACATTCACAGCCAACAAATAAAAACAAAGCGTGTATTTATGCTCGTGGCGAGCTTCTGATTTTTTTAGTTCAACAACGAAGTAATTGGTTACAAATAAACAGATGAGCCAGCTTCTTACTGCCTGACAGGATGCATTTTTAAAAAACTCTTTCAAACCGGTTTAGAAAATTACCCCCAACGGAAATGTAGTCATGAGGGTTATACATATGACTTGCTTTGAAGTTATCAACAGTTATGACGCCCTATTATAATGTTCAGTTGTAATCAGTATTGTATCAACTTTGTTAGTTAGAATGACGTTAGAATGGTTAAATAGTTTCTCTTTTATGAATGTGAAACATAATTGTTTCCACGTTGTATTAGTTTTGAGCGAAAGAGTTAAAATGTCCTCTAGAAGACAATACATAAATAATAATGGATGAACCAGTGTAAACACTGGATAGACGAGAAGCCACAATAAGCATGGTAACTATATTAAGCAAGAGTGAGTGAGTGAGTAAATATGTTTTACGCCGCTTTTAGCAATATTCCAGCAATATCACGGCGGGGGACACCAGAAATGGGCTTCACACATTGTACCCATGTCGGGAATCGAACCCGGGTCTTCGGCGTGACGAGCGAACGCCTTAACCACTAGGCTACCCGACTGCCCTTATTAAGCAAGACAATGTGGCTTTATGGGAAAAGGACGGATGTGTGCGTGCGTGCGTGCGTGTGACTGTGTGTGTGTCTGCGTGTGTGATTGTGTCTCGAGCTGTGTGTGTGATTGTGTCTGTGTGTGTCGCTGTGTGTGAATGGTGTGAGTGTCTGTGTCTGTGTGTCTCTCTCTCTCTGTGTGAATGTGTGTCTCTCTGTTTGTGAATGTGTGTGTGTGAATGCGTGCGTGCGTGTGTGTATGCGTGCATGTGTGTGTGTGATGCCCCATCCCTACCATTCCCCCTAATTCTCCTCCCCCGAAAAGATTAATCCGACGTAGAGTGTTATGCGCGGGGATGGCATGCCTATCTTGTGTTGTCACTACACTCTAGATGTGCACAAGCCGGGGACTGTAGCGGTAATACTGTGGGGAAGGTGGGGAAGAGGAAGTGATATCGTTCAGGGCGAGTAAGTGGAACAACTCGGCCGTCATTAACAAGAAAAAATACTTCAACAGCTACTTCCCATTTGCCCTGGCAGTACCACACTTACACAACTGGATCGCACACTTCAGCTGGTAACTCAACTCGCATTCAAAGGTAAGTCACCACTCTCGGGGTATTTGTCTCGTGGTCCCTGTGTGAAAGTCATGGTGATTAGAGTGGTGTTTGGGAGACATCACAATAGCACTCCGTCGGCACCTCGTCCCCTCGTGGCTCGCCGAGGCAGCCAGATAATTACCACCCCTGTTTTAACGTGGGAACGTCGGCTCAATAGTCACACATTCCTCTGGGAAATAGCTTCTCCCTGTTGTATTGCCACCATTAGTGTTATTATCGCTAGAAATAGCGGTATTGATAATAGAATCCTTAAAGTTATCATTCTTCTCATCATCATCATGTTTAGAATAATTACTATCATCATTATCGTTATTATTATGTGCAGTATTGAAAGTGGTTGTCACATTTATATTAATTTAGTATTAATATTAGTAGAAATGGTGGTAGAAATGGTGGTAGTAGTAGTAGTAGTAGTATTAGTGGTAGTGGTAGTTGATAGTGGTAGTAGTAGTAGTGGTAGTAGTAGTGGTAGTAGTAGTAGTAGTGGTAGTGGTAGTAGTAGCAGTAGCAGTAGTAGTAGTGGTAGTGGTAGTAGTAGTGGTAGTAGTAGTAGTGGTAGTGGTAGTGGTAGTAGTAGTAGTAGTAGTAGTGGTAGTAGTAGTAGTAGTGGTAGTGGTAGTGGTAGTGGTAGTGGTAGTAGCAGTAGTAGTAGTAGTAGTAGTAGTGGTAGTGGTAGTAGTAGTAGTAGTAGTAGTAGTAGTAGTGGTAGTGGTAGTGGTAGTAGCAGTGGTAGTAGTAGTAGTAGTAGTAGTAGTAGTGGTAGTGGTAGTAGTGGTAGTGGAGGTAGTGGTAGTAGTAGTAGTAGTAGTAGTAGTAGTAGTTGTTATTGTACCAGTAGTTGTAGTAATTCTATTTTTTTCGACCATTCGTGGAAGTAGCCTGCGACAATTAATGTCATTATCAGTATTATTATTGACATAATCATAATCCATATAAGTTAAGTGAGTGTGTTAAAACATATGTAGTCATGTCGGCAGTATATCATCCATGTTGCGAACAGACCATTTTATACTTTATTATACCCATATGCTCCATTATAACCACGTTTCATTCCCAAATTATTTCTTCGTCGTGAATACCAGTGCCCCATTTCACATTGTCTCAGATGTACGTATCATAACACATGTAACCGGTGACTTAACACTTAGTCTATGCAAACATTGTAAGTTTTTGTTAAAAGAACCTGCCCTCCTCTGCTGTTTTTATAGACCGTGGAAACAAGGAAACTAGACTTGGTTTTATATATACTAGGCACATGTCAAAGCGCAGGACTTGAAATCAGGCGTGACGGCTGTGATGTCCTTCCCTTCTTACATAGACGCACTTCATATCAGAAGGAACGTATCTGCACTGTTTCCTTCGTGACGAACCTACGTGATAACTTTAGATCCTGATTGGAAATGTCACAGCTATATTTCAATCTGAACAAGTAGGGGGTACTTGAAAGGCGATACGTTCTGTTTACGTTGACTGATGCGTGGGAGGAAATAGTAAGAGCAAGGAATTCCACAAATAGAGCCCGATCATACTACATCACAATGGTTGGGTGACGAGACACTAAACACTGTGGGTGTTGTATATCAACTACCCAGTGACACAATACACTGTGTGTGTTGTATATGATCTACCCAGTGACACTATACACTGTGTGTGTTGTATATGATCTACCCAGTGACAATGTACACTGTGTGTGTTGTATATCATTTACCCAGTGACACAATACACTGTGGGTGTTGTATATCATCTACCCAGTGACACAATACACTATGCATTTTGTATATCATCTACCCAGTGACACAATACACTGTGTGTGTTGTATATCATCTACCCAGTGAAACAATACACTATGCATCTTGTATATCATCTACCCAGTGACACAATACACTGTGTGTGTTGTATATGATCTACCCAGTGACACTATACACTGTGTGTGTTGTATATCATCTACCCAGTGACAATGTACACTTTGTGTGTTGTATATCATTTACCCAGTGACACAATACACTGTGGGTGTTGTATATCATCTACCCAGTGACACAATACACTATGCATTTTGTATATCATCTACCCAGTGACACAATACACTGTGTGTGTTGTATATCATCTACCCAGTGAAACAATACACTATGCATCTTGTATATCATCTACCCAGTGACACAATACACTGTGTGTGTTGTATATCATCTACCCAGTGACACTATACACTGTGTGTGTTGTATATCATCTATCCAGTGACACAATACACTCTGTGTGTTGTATATGATCTACCCAGTGACAATGTACACTGTGTGTGTTGTATATGATCTACCCAGTGACACTATACACTGTGTGTGTTGTATATGATCTACCCAGTGACACTATACACTGTGTGTGTTGTATATCATCCACCCAGTGACACTATACACTGTGTGTGTTGTATATCATCTACCCAGTGACACAATACACTGTGTGTGTTGTATATGATCTAACCAGTGACAATGTACACTGTGTGTGTTTTATATGATCTACCCAGTGACACTATACACTGTGTGTGTTGTATATGATCTACCCATTGACACTATACACTGTGTGTGTTGTATATCATCTACCCAGTGACACTATACACTATGCATCTTGTATATCATTTACCCAGTGACACAATACACTGTGTGTGTTGTATATGATCTACTCAGTGACACAATACACTGTGTGTGTTGTATATCATCTACCCACTGACACTATACACTGTGTGTGTTGTATATCATCTACCCAGTGACACTATACACTGTGTGTGTTGTATATCATCTACCCAGTGAAACTATACACTGTGTGTGTTGTATATCATCTACCCAGTGACAATGTACACTGTGTGTGTGTTGTATATGATCTACTCAGTGACACTATACACTGTGTATGTTGTATATCATCTACCCAGTGACACTATACACTGTGGGCGTTGTATATCATCCACCCAGTGACACAACACACTATGCATCTTGTATATCATTTACCCAGTGACACAATACACTGTGTGTGTTGTATATGATCTACTCAGTGACACAATACACTGTGTGTGTTGTATATCATTTACCCAGTGACACAATACACTGTGTGTGTTGTATATGATCTACTCAGTGACACAATACACTATGTATGTTGTATATCATTTACCCAGTGACACAATACACTGTGTGTGTTTTATATCATCTACCCAGTGACACTAAACACTGTGTGTGTTGTATATGATCTACCCAGTGACACAATACACTGTGTGTGTTTTATATCATCTACCCAGTGACACTATACACTGTGTGTGTTGTAAATCATCTACCCAGTGACACAATACACTGTGTGTGTTTTATATCATCTACCCAGTGACACTAAACACTGTGTGTGTTGTATATGATCTACCCAGTGACACTATACACTGTGTGTGTTTTATATCATCTACCCAGTGACACTATACACTGTGTGTGTTTTATATCATCTACCCAGTGACACTATACACTGTGTGTGTTGTAAATCATCTACCTAGTGACACAATACACTGTGTGTGTTTTATATCATCTACCCAGTCACACTATACACTGCGTGTGTTTTATATCATCTACCCAGTGACACTATACACTGTGTGTGTTTTATATCATCTACCCAGTGACACTATACACTGTGTGTGTTGTAAATCATCTACCTAGTGACACAATACACTGTGTGTGTTTTATATCATCTACCCAGTCACACTATACACTGCGTGTGTTTTATATCATCTACCCAGTGACACTATACACTGTGTGTGTTTTATATCATCTACCCAGTGACACTATACACTGTGTGTGTTGTAAATCATCTACCTAGTGACACAATACACTGTGTGTGTTTTATATCATCTACCCAGTGACACTAAACACTGTGTGTGTTGTATATGATCTACCCAGTGACACTATACACTGTGTGTGTTTTATATCATCTACCCAGTGACACTATACACTGTGTGTGTTTTATATCATCTACCCAGTGACACTATACACTGTGTGTGTTGTAAATCATCTACCTAGTGACACAATACACTGTGTGTGTTTTATATCATCTACCCAGTCACACTATACACTGCGTGTGTTTTATATCATCTACCCAGTGACACTATACACTGTGTGTGTTTTATATCATCTACCCAGTGACACTATACACTGTGTGTGTTGTAAATCATCTACCTAGTGACACAATACACTGTGTGTGTTTTATATCATCTACCCAGTGACACTAAACACTGTGTGTGTTGTATATGATCTACCCAGTGACACTATACACTGTGTGTGTTTTATATCATCTACCCAGTGACACTATACACTGTGTGTGTTTTATATCATCTACCCAGTGACACTATACACTGTGTGTGTTGTAAATCATCTACCTAGTGACACAATACACTATGCATCTTGTATATCATCTACTCAGTCACACTATACACTGCGTGTGTTGTATATCATCTACCCAGTGACACTATACACTGTGGGTGTTGTATATCATCTACCCAGTGACACTATACACTGTGTGTGTTGTATATGATCTACCCAGTGACACTATACACTGTGGGTGTTGCATATCATCTACCAATTGACACTAAACACTGTGGGTGTTGTATATCATCTACCCAGTGACACTATACACTGTGTGTGTTGTATATGATCTACCCAGTGACACTATACACTGTGTGTGTTGTATATGATCTACCCAGTGACAATGTACACTGTGTGTGTTGTATATCATCTACCCATTGACACTAAACACTGTGGGTGTTGCATATCATCTACCAATTGACACTAAACACTGTGGGTGTTGTATATCATCTACCCAGTGACACTATACACTGTGTGTGTTGTATATGATCTACCCAGTGACACTATACACTGTGTGTGTTGTATATGATCTACCCAGTGACAATGTACACTGTGTGTGTTGTATATCATCTACCCATTGACACTAAACACTGTGGGTGTTGC